GGGAAGTTACTTTTTGGATTTGAAGGTACTATTTTATCGAGTTATTGGTGATTTTTCCTTTTGCTTCTGTATGGTACTTGATTCTTATGAGATCCCACATTGGTTGAAGAGGGGAACGAAGAATTCCTTATAAGGGTGTGGACACCTCTCTCCAGTGGATGCGTTTTAAAACCTTGAGGGGAAGCCCAAAGAGGACAATATCTACTAGTGGTAGGCTTAGGCTGTTACAAATGGTATTAGAGCCAGACACCGGTTGGTGTGCCAGCGAGGACGTTGGGCCCTCAAGGGGGGTGGATTATGAGATCGCACAACGGTTGGAGAGGGGAACAAAACATTTCTTATAAGAGTAAGGAAACCTCTCCCTAGTGGACATGTTTTAAAACCTTGAGGGGAAGCTCAGAAGAGAAAGCCCGAAGAGGATAATATCTGCTAGCGGTGGGCTTAGGCTGTTACAATTCTTTATTACGATACGTATGAGATTAAAAATTCGAAGATTGCTAGTATGGAGGGAAAGAAAAAAGTGAGTTATCCAATACGATGATTTTAGCAACAGTGATGAACGCATGTGTATCATGTATCGAATGCAAGAAACTTGTTCCAGGAGTAATCGAGCTTTCTCTTTGTAATTTGCAGGAAATAATCTCAAAGAAATTCCTTGGGGTGCTTTAGATGACGTTGTAATGGGTGGAGTGAGTGAAAGTTCGTTTCAAATTGACTTCAAAGGTGGCAAAAATGGTGGACCAACTGGAGTTTTTAAAGGTTTCTTCCATTAAGCCTTTAGACAGTTTACAAGTCCAAGATTACCTCACTGTTAATAGAATGAACACATTATGATCATGAATCTAACTTTGGGTGCATATGCTTTAGGTGTTGTTTCAACTGCAAACAATGGTGGTTTTACTAGTGTTCGGACACGGGTAATTTACATATTTTGAATATTTTCTTCGCCCATGCTTTACATTCTCAGATATCTAAAACTAACGCAGTCGCCTCTTCTGTACCGAATGCTCGACGGTCATTCCTAAGTTAGGATTATGAAAACAATTGAAATAACTCTATAAAAGTCAGGGATTGGTGACAAAATCTTGTCTTCCAGAACTTTTTTACCATTCATTTTATTTTTATGCTTATTATGAATGGAATGTACTTTTCTTCCTCATAAGCTTGTCCTTCAAATGAACCATTTCTGTTCCTTGATCTTCTCCGAGTCTTTTGAATTACGGTGGCTGCTCCCTTTCATTCCCCTATCTAATGTCATAGTTATTCCATCTTTTTGCATTTATACAGAACTTTTCTGTACCAGAAGATCTTTCTGCTTATGACGGATTAGAATTGCATCTCAAAGGCGATGGCCGTCGGTATAAACTGATCGTGCGCACCAGCACTGATTGGGATACTATTGGTTATACAGCCGGCTTCGACACTGTCAAAGGCCAATGGCAGTCAGTGAGTAACACCATTTGACCTTGATTGGGGCTTTTCTTTTATGAACAATCGAACTACCAATGACTGGTTATATTTCCTGTTTTCTCAGGTTCATGTGCCATTTTCTTCGTTGAGGCCAATATTTCGAGCTCGAACTGTTGTAGATGCCCCACCTTTTGACCCTACAAATATTGTGTCACTGCAGGTAAGATTACTTTGTTAGGAACCACGACTCTCCACAATGGTATGATATTGTCCACTTTGAGCATAAGCTCTCATGGATTTATTTTTTGTTTTCCCAGAAGGCCTTATACCAATGAACATGTATTTCTTACCTATGATCTCATAATTAACCGCTTAATTAGTCGAGACTCCTCTTCCAACAATCCTTAACAATTCTCCCCTTGAACAAATTACACCATAGAGCCTCCCCTGAGGCCTATGGAGCCTTCAAAGAGCCTCCCCTTAATCGAGGCTTGACTCTTTCTTTGGAGCCCTGAACAAATACACCCTTTGTTCGACACTTTGAGTCACTTTTGACTACACTTTCGAGGTTTACAATTTTTTGTTTGACACTTAGGATACTATTGACATGGCTAAGTTAGGGGTACGATTTTGATACCATGTTAGGAATCACGACTCTCCACAATGGTATGATATTGTCCACTTTGAGCATAAGCTCTCATGACTTTATTTTTTGTTTTCCCAAAAGGCCTCGTACCAATGAAGATGTATTCCTTACTTATAATCTCATGATTAACCACTTAATTAGCCGATGTGAGACTCTTCTCCCTACAATCCTTAACATACTTTTCTCTTAGTTCATTCTCATTCTCATAATATTTTTCACACGCACTTCTGATGCATTGATATTCATATGCAGCTCATGTTTAGCAAGTTTGAATATGACGGGAAACTCAACCCAACTTTTGTAGAAGGTGCATTTCAACTTCCATTATCAAGTATAAGGGCTTATATTAAAGATCCTATAACTCCCAGGTTTACCAAAACGCCATCTTTTAGGACTACTAAGCTGATTTTGATCTTTTTCCAATTCTCTTACACGGTTCGTCTATCTGTTTGTCTACTTTAGGTTTGTGCATGTGAGTTCTGCTGGAGTCACACGACCTGATAGGCCAGGGCTCGATCTCAGCAAGCAACCTCCTGCCGTCAGATTGAATAAAGAATTGGATTTTATTCTTACATTCAAATTGAAGGTTTAAGACCAACTCTATTCATACAATCTTCCACACATTAGTTTCAGCTACTTTTTAGTTTTTATGTTTAGTTTCATTTCAATATTGGCCATTTCCTCTACAGGGAGAGGACTTAATTCGAGAAAGTGGAATTCCTTATGCAATTGTAAGACCTTGTGCGTTAACCGAGGAGCCCGCTGGTGCCGATCTCATTTTCGATCAAGGAGATAATATAACGGTACCACAACAACAAATGAACAATGTCTAGAGTTTAGAGATACTGTCATTGATTTCTTATGAGGGTATTCTTTTCTTTTCGCGCAGGGTAAGATATCGAGGGAAGAGGTTGCTTGTATTTGCATCGCTGCTTTGGAAAGTCCGTATACGTGTGACAAAACATTCGAGGTAATACCCTCCCTCCATCCCTCCCTCTCTACTTTATTTTACTCTCTTGAGTGATAAAACAATCCTACTCTCCTTCTAATCCCTTCATGATCTGTCTAATGTCCCTTTATTCTTACTGTCCCGGGTGTTATGTTGTTGAGGATTGTTGGGAGGGAGTTGCACATTGGTTAAAGGAACGATTATGGGTTTATAAGTATGGAATACATCTCCATTGGTAGGAGGCGTTTTGTGAAACCAAAAGCAAAGCTGTGAGAGCTTATTCTCAAAGTGGACAATATCATACCATTGTGAACGTTCGTGGTTCCTAACAATGGTTCTAGCTATAGAATTAAAATACAGGTTTATTGACTGGTTTGTTCTTTCATACATAGAAAAAATTCCTGATGCCACTAATTTCATTGACCATAATAGACAACAAAATGAATTTTGACCCATTATTTTTCGTTATCACGTCTTAAGATTGTTTGGTACTGAGTCCAAACGAAATAACAAAAGTCCAAAAGATCGAGTCCCCCCTCCCTTCAGCCCCTAAGCGGACCGAAAAAAGGAAGAAAAAGGGCAATGCCAGTGCATTAGGGGTAAGAATCTCTCTTTTCTGATTGACTGAAGATGAGCGACCACAGAAAAGACAGCGTATTGAACCTGGGATTTTGATCATAAAGCTGATCCATTGTAGTTAGCATTCAAGTTTTTAGCGATGTTCTTACTCATTTGCAGGTTAAAAGTGTGATTCCATTTAGTGAGCCATTCACTGTGGACCCTGAGAATCCCCCCCAAGAAAAGGACTACAATATTTACTTCAAAACCTTGAAGGATGGTATTACTGGGAAAGAACTCCTTGAGCAAAGCCCTGCTCCTGTTTGAAATATGTATTATAGAGAGGAGGTAGAGTTCATTTTTGGTACACCAAATTTGGTAAGGGCTTTTAAATGGAAGATCTTGTCTGTAACTTTATTTGTAACTGCCTTATTACTTTCTATGCATTCACAGCCCACTTCTGTATATCAGGATTATCATTACTTAGCTATTGTGGCCATTTGGAATCTGTTTTGCATTGTTTACAATAGCAACTCTTCTGTGAAATCGTTGTCGATGAGTTGATAATCTTGGACGAGATAGGTACGACAAGATTGCGTGCCTTCTAGTAACTACTTGATATAGATTTGAAGTAATTTTGTGGTTTTTCTCTGATAAAACATACCTACAAAGAGATCATCACGTATATGACTTAACACTCGATTAGGGGTGTCGAACTTAGTAGACGACCAGATTCCTTATTTTTTGCATTTTGTATAGTTATAGATCTCGATTCAATACACTATAGTTGTTACAGTATCTAAATTGTCACATACATGACCGAGACTGAATTAGGAGCTGAATTGGGATGTCTCAATCATAGAGTGCAAAAGTAAGACTCTTTCTATAGCTATAGATTGCAATTCAATACACCATAGTTATGATAGCTAGATTGTCATATACATGACTTTGACTGAACTAGGAGCTAAATTAGGAGCGTCTCAAACCATTGAGTGGAAATCTAAGACTCTTTATTGTTCTATAATTATAGATCTTGATTCAACACACCATTGTTCCAGTAGCTAGATTGTTACATACATGGTTGAGACTGAATTAGGAGTGTCTCAATCATAGAGTAGAAAAAAAATTAAGACTCTTTATTGTTCTACAGCTATAGATCTCGATTCAATACATCATAGTTACTGTAGCTAAACTGTCACATACATGGTTGAGACTCTTTATTGTTCTATAGCTACCGATCTCGATTCAGTACACTATAGTTACGATAGCTATAGCTGGATTGAAAAGTTTATATTAATGTTTCATTTATTTTTAATGATCCCACACATTCCTCAAGCACATGAATGAAATAAATTCCATAAAGTCATGATAGTTTTCACAAATTTTCCATAAATTCAAAAGTGTTATAACCAACTTGAAAGAAAACCCAAAAGCTTCAAACTTTTTCCCACCAACAAAGTCCAAATTTAAGTCCCAATGCTTTGGATGAGTGGCATACAAAATGACAAAAATGACCTTACTTAACCAATGCAAGAAGCTAGAATAGTCTTGACCATAAGTCCATGACCAAGGACGTGGACGTCAATTCAACAATTTGTAGAGCTCAAAATCCAAAGCGATTTCATAGGAATTCCAAAATTTGAAAAAGAGACGCGTCGTCGTCCAGCCCAGCGCAGCGGCAAACACAGCAGTCTCTCCCATTTCCAACTCCCACTGTCTCGAAACAAGAAGAACAAAGAAAAGAACCTCCAAAAAGCGCACACTCGCAGAGATCTGATCCAACCAAAGTTCTTCTTGTTCTTCAGAAGGGGGACTGCGATGGCCGGCTACAGAGCTGAAGATGACTATGATTATCTCTTTAAGGTCGTTTTAATTGGAGATTCTGGTGTGGGTAAGTCTAATTTGCTCTCCAGGTTCACCAAAAACGAGTTTAGCCTCGAATCTAAGTCCACTATTGGGGTTGAGTTTGCTACTCGGAGCTTGAATGTTGATAGCAAGGTCGTCAAGGCCCAGATTTGGGATACTGCTGGCCAGGAAAGGTTGGTATATTTCCTCATCTTTGAACTCTGGCCTTTACAAGATCTGGGTATTTCTTAATTTTGCTATATGTGGTTGTTGATGAACAGCTAATGTAGTTTTTGATGATCTTACTGATGGAATTGTCTCTGTATTAGCTTTAATTGTATGGGTTAAATCATGTCCTTACTCATCCACTAAATCGGTTTTTTATGCATTGAACTGCAATGGTTGCTTACAAAATTAGTGGATCTAATGGGGCTGATTAGAGTTGCTTGTATGGTTACGTTTCAAATGCATTGACATACAAAAATGGTTATTATTCTGTAATTCTGTATGAAATGTTGAAGTGAAGTGACAGATTTTAGTATGACTTTTGGAAACATTTCATTAGTGGGTTTTTTTTTTCTCACAATTATAAATGACTGGCCTGTTGTTCTAGAACAATTGTAATTGGATTTGGTACTTCCCAAGCCCTCCGCTAGTAGTTATTATCCGCTTTGGCCCGTTACGTATCGCTGTCAGTCTCACGATTTTAAAACGCATCTGCTAGAGAATGTTTTGCTCTCCACTCCAATCGATGTAGGATCTCACAATTCACCCCCCATCAGGGCCCAGTATCCTTGCTAGCACTCGTTGTCCTCTCTAACCGATGTGAGATCTCACAATCCACTCCCTTCGGGGCCCAGCGTCCTAAGTGGTCCATCGCTCAATGCCTAGCTCTGATATCATTTGTAATAACCCAAACCCACTGCTATAGATATTGTCCTCTTTGACCCGTTCTGTATCACCTTCAATCTCAGGTTTTAAAACACTTGATAGAGAGAGGTTTTCACACCCTTATAAAGAATGTTTCATTCCCCTCTCTAAGTGACGTGGGCTCTAAAGAACTTGAGAACTTGAGAAGGAGCCCATGGCCGTTGAGACCTTCTCCAAGTACCCACGTTGGGTTGTTTTCCGTTTGTGACATACATCAAACTGTTGCTGTTGGTGTGATCAAGAGCATGTAGAAGAAGGACCCAACTGGAGCCCAAGTGACCAAGTTTGCTGCCAAGAAGAAATAGGCCAACCAAAAACCGTACTGTTGAGGGTTAACTGTATTTTGTTGCAAGTCAATAGGTAGTTCCATTTAACACTCCAGAACAGTTGCACGCTTGATTCTTTTGTTCGTTATCTCGACAAACATAAGCGGTGTGCCGTTCTTGTTGCTGAGTTTAGTACTCGCCATGGTTTCTTTGAATCATGGGAATAGAAATGAGCATTCTTATGTGGGAAAAGGCACATTAACTTATGTTCGTCGAGATAACAAATCCCGAGGCAAATGTGACTGCTTCACGCTTGATTTAGTACTTCATGTTGTGCTTGCTTCACTCTTTTTGTGAACTGACCATCTCGTTTGGGGCATAGGTATCGTGCAATAACCAGTGCATACTACCGAGGTGCTGTAGGTGCACTTCTCGTCTATGATGTCACACGACATTCCACTTTTGAAAATGTCGAGAGGTGGTTAAGAGAGTTACGAGACCATACAGATCCCAACATCGTCGTCATGCTTGTTGGTAACAAATCAGATCTTCGACACCTGGTGGCAGTCTCAACAGAGGATGGAAAATCTTTTGCTGAAAAGGAGTCTCTGTATTACATGGAAACTTCTGCACTTGAAGCAACCAACGTCGAGAACGCGTTCGCCGAAGTCCTTACTCAAATCTATCACATTGTAAGCAAGAAGACCATGGAGGCTGGTGAGGATGCAGCTGCTGCTTCAGTTCCTTCGAAAGGAGAGAAAATCGACGTCGGTAAGGACGTTTCTGCTGTAAAGAAAGGCGGCTGCTGTTCGAGTTAGGCTTTTGATTTGCATATTTTTCTTATGAGCCCCATAGTTTAGTAGAAATTCTTCAGAGATGTGTTTTATAGGATATTGCTGTTGCCTGGATTGGATTTTATCTACTTTCCAATATTTTTTAGTCTGAAAATTTTAAGTTTGAGCCCAGAAAGAGCTTGATTGAAAGGATTATTAGCATCAAATCTATTGATTTCATTTAGCTGTTGTGTTTATTCTCTGTCTGCACCTAATTCAGGTTTTTGTTTAACTTAGATTGGTTTAGATAGTTTCGGCCAACGAGTTAAGGTTCGAGTTTTTCCACTCCCAAATTTTTATACCTTATCGATATGTTTAGAGGATCAATTGAAGTCTTGAAAGTTTTATACGCTTCAAGTGCATTCGAACTTGTCATCAAAAGTTTAGAATCTGGCTGGCAGAATCTTTTAAGTCTTTAAAACAATGTAAGTGGCTCCACTATGGTTCTAACATGACGTGTTATGTTATGCTTCACTATGTAATGCTATGATACGCTATGGCTCCACTATGGTTCTAACATGACGTGTTATGTTATGCTTCACTATGTAATGCTATGATACGCTATGGCTCCACTATGGTTCTAACATGACGTGTTATGTTATGCTTCACTATGTAATGCTATGATACGCTATGGCTCCACTATGGTTCTAACATGACGTGTTATGTTATGCTTCACTATGTAATGCTATGATACGCTATGGCTCCACTATGGTTCTAACATGACGTGTTATGTTATGCTTCACTATGTAATGCTATGATACGCTATGGCTCCACTATGGTTCTAACATGACGTGTTATGTTATGCTTCACTATGTAATGCTATGATACGCTATGGCTCCACTATGGTTCTAACATGACGTGTTATGTTATGCTTCACTATGTAATGCTATGATACGCTATGGCTCCACTATGGTTCTAACATGACGTGTTATGTTATGCTTCACTATGTAATGCTATGATACGCTATGATATGCTATGATAAGCTATTTCATGTATGCTTCACTATGTAATGCTACGATACGCAATGATATGCCATGATAAGCTATTTCTTTTTTAAAAAGTTCTAATGTGATGTGTTATGTTATGCTTCACTATGTAATTCTATGATACTCTATGATATGTCTGGCAAAACCATCATGAATTCGATGATCTGCGAAGCACAAACCTACTTAGACTATGCCATGAAAATCATGTCATGCATGAAAGATTTACAAACTTAATATGCTATAATTGGAGGTTCGTTCTGCTGTCATAAATTATGACATGAACTAAAGTTATGGAGACCTCAGGTAGAATTGTGTATCATGTGTATCAGGATACATTCTCGTTATGATGAGTATGGACATGTACATTACGACTGATGATTTACAAATTTATGTCGTCATGATGTCATGTGGATCACTTTTCCTCCATGGAGTCCAACACAGCCTGTTAGCGTGTACTAGCCCAATGAGCCAGACCTAGGGGTGTGTGAGCACATCTGGTGGGACCATACTCGCACACGTGGGCATTGTGTAGAGAAGTACTACACAATCCAACCTTGCCCAGACTAAAAAACCACCTAAACCCGTGAAATGATATTTTAAATAAATATTTCTGCACACAAAGCTCATATCATGCATACAATAAAAACTTTATCATAGTAGATAAATAGTATCGTTATATTTAAATTCTTTAGCCTATTAAATATTTTTTTTTTAAATTAGAGGAAAATTTTTAAAACATATAATTAACTATTTTTTCTTAATTTTTCAACCTTTTTTCTTGACAATCCCCCACCTTTTAAGGAGAAAAAAACTCCAATCCCTAGACGTTTTTTAAACTTGTTTATATATATATATATATATATATATATATATATATATATATATATATATATATATATATTATTGTTATTATTATTATTATTATTATTATTATTAGAACATACAAAAAGGAAGAATGGTCAAAAGAGTAATGACAAGTGAACAATGTTGTTTATAAAAAATAAAAATAAAAAAATAAACAAAGAATTACATTCCTCTTGAGAGGATTAAATTAATAAAAAAATATTCTTAAACTTCTAAAATTCAAAAATATATTTTAATGGCGAGTTTAGAATTTTGTTTCAAAAATATTTTTAAAACAAAGTTTTTTTCTTCAAAATTTGGGTGACGATATTCTAATTTTTATTTTTTTGAAAATTCAAGGATATTATATAAAAATTTAAAAAATTAAGGGTATTTTTTTATATAAAATATAAATTTCATTGATATATATATATATATATTTTAATTAATTTAGCATTTATAGTATATCTCTATTTTAATTGAGAGATTTCAATCACATATTATATTAGTTTTTGAAAAGCCTCCTCAACCACCTTTTATTTTATTTTATTTTATTTATTAGATAAGGGAAGATTTTAATTTTTTCTTAATACCTAAGCATCTAGAGGGTTGATCTTATAATAATGTAATGATTTAATCCTTTGAAATATTTATAATTTTCCAATAATTATATATTTAAAAAGTCTTTGGGATTTTTAAGTCAAATTTGATTTGCTTGTGTTAGGCTGGTTAATTATTTTTATTGGTTAATTTGGTAATATCATAATTATTCAGGAAACTTTTATAAATTCCTTTAAAATTAATTTTATTCGAATTTATTAAATTTTAAAAAATAATTTTTATTTTTATTTTAGATACTATTATATATTTATTTTAGCTTTATAACTATTTATTATTCCACAACAAGTAATTTTTTTAAATATATATTAAAATTAGGTTGCAATCTTAATTTGATATTTGAAAATAATAAAAATTTATTATTGTATCCTATCTTTAAGTTTTTTTTTTTTTTTTGTTATTTTATGGTGGCGTTATTTATTTTTCTTCATTAAAAAAATATTTATATTTTTAAGTTGTAGTTTGGTGCAATAAAAATCAAACAAAAAAAAATTAATTTTTTTTTTTGGATTAAATGGTAAATTTAATATCAATAATTTAGCAAGAATTATAATTTAATTTCTAATTTTAAAATTGAAAAAATTCATAAATAATCTATATATTATTTAATCATTAATCATAAAAACTATAATTTATAAACGATCAATTTTTTTTTATTTTTTCTAGGTAAGTTAGCTCTTTAAAGATAATAATGTCTATTAATCTTCCAATTTTAATAAATTAATAATTCGTTTTTTATCATTAACAAAAAAAAAAATAAAAAATAAAAATATAAATTAAGAACTCGAGCACAAATATCCTCCAAATTATTTAATGATTATCGATAAATCATATCATTTTAAATCTTTAAAATTTTCAATTTATACGCTTAAATTTCTTAAAATATTATTACCATTAATCAAACCCGAATAATAATTTAGCCTTAAAATAAAATGAAGCAAGATATATATATTATTTTTTTAATAATGAAAATTCGTAAAATATATATAGGAAGAAATAAATAAGTTTAGAAAAAGAAAAAAAGAAAAAGAAACTTCCCGGCGTCTATGGCGGACGATGGAGTATACAGACAAAGAGAAGCCGCAGCTCAAGTGGTGGTTCCGCACCAAGGAGTGATCCGCCGCTGCCCGGCAGCCGGTTGTTCATCCGCCGCCAATCCCCGGGCTCCGCCGTGCCGGAACACCAATGAACACTCCGGCAACTCCCCGAGATCCGCAAACAATGAGTCGTCCACGTCATTATCTCCCATCGGAAAAAGCATTGCCACGTCACTGGAAAGCGAATCTCCCAATCCACTCGAGCATCCAGAAAAAATCGAGTTCTCGAGAACAGTGGACGACGTCGTTTCCATTTCCCCGAACCAACTGAACTCGTCCCCCGTTATCAACGACTCCTCTCCCATATCCACAAATTTCTCTTCCACTTCCACTTCCACTTCCACTTCCGGTTCCGGATGAACCGGCACACTCTCCGGCGAACCGGGTTTTCCCACGGCGGCGGCTTTGTGGTGATTATTGATGTTTCTAGAAACCGGACCGGAATGATTATGTTCACATGAATATGATATCACCAACATGGTTGGATCAAGCCGATTCCTCTCTACTTGTTTCCTCGCCGGGCATCCCTTTGAACTGCTACACCTATAATACGCCCTAAAAAAAATCGAAACTTTAAAATCCTAGAGACCAAATCGAAACGAAAGAAAGAAATCGAGATAAGAATATAAGATTACACATCGGTTGGGGAGTGGAATGAAACACCCTTTATAAGAGTGTGAAAACCTAGCGGGAAGCCTGAAAAGAAGAGCCAAAAAGAAAAATATCGGCTAGTTTTGTACTTGAATTGTTACAAATGGTATCAGAGTCAAATACTGAACAATGTGTCAACTAGAAGTTTGAGTCTCGAAGGGGGTGGACATGAGGCGATGTGCCACGATGCTAGGTCCAAAGGGGACATTTGGTGGGGTCCCACATCAATTGGGGAAAGCAACAAGTGTCAGCGTATTCGTTGGGCCTCGAAGGTAATAGATTGTGAGATTTCAGATCGGTTGGGAAGAGAATGAAGCATTCTCGTGGAAACCTCTCCCCAGTTTAAAATTTTGAGGAGAAGCCCGAAAATGAAAGCCCAAAAAATGATAATATCTAATAGCGGTACGCTTGAACAGTTATACATAGAGACCAAATCGAATCAAAACCCAAACAAGAAGGACAAAATTGAAACAAAACCCATATCATAAAATTTGAAATTGAGCTCACCTTGGATAAGGGGAGCCTTTGATGGGTTTTTGACCATACTTTCTCCAAGCCCAAGAATCAGGCGGAGGAGTAGTAGAACCAGAAGAATTCCTTGAGCTGTCACCATTAATTCTCACCGACACCACTTTCTTCTTCATCCCTCTTCTACAAATCACACACATATATATATAAATAAATAAATGAAACCCCATGGAATTAAGCAAATGGGTTCATGAAAATAGGAGCTGACCTGCCCTTCTTGGCGGCGGCGGCGGAAGTAGAAGGCGGAGAATCAGGGGCTTTCTCGTCGCTATCATCTAAGGGATCACCGGAATAGAATTGGTGGCGGTTGTTGTTGAAGGTGGCATCCATGTTATTACGGCGGCCGCCGGAGTAGCCACAGATGGGATGTTGTTTTTTTAAGGTAATGGCTGTCGGAAAAGTTTATGATGAAGAAGAAGAAGAAGGAGGAGGGGGAAATTAATGTGGTTTTTTGAGGAAT